AAAAAAAAATACTGTTAAAAGTCTAAAAATGTATGCCCTCATTCATATTTTGGCCAGATTGTAATCTTTGTCAGGGCAATACTGAACCCCGGGCCTCATGTTTGACACCCCTGCTGCATTGCTTCTACCTTGCAGTATAAAGCCCTGTGATGCAGCTGTGACTGCTATATAAATAAAATTGAACTGAAGTTGTATTAGCATGGCTAGGGGGAAAAAAAGAGGTTGGCCACCTGTGACAGCTAACATGCTGTATGCACGAGTTTTGCCCGAGCCCAGATGTTCCCAGGTTTCATTAAAGAAAACACGTTTAATAATTGCTTGTTGGATTCATGTAAGGCCAAAGTCAGTGTTTGTGTAAAACAAGCTCCAACATTGGTCTAAATGTCTGACAGGTTTGTTTTTCACACATATATAATGCAGAGCATCATCATGGAGTGGGTGAGCTCATCTGCATACAAATACTGTCATACGTTAAAAACCTAAGGCGGGGTTGTGCGGTTTTCTTTCTTTTATGACAAAAAATAAACAGTTTTCATTTAAAACCTTTTTACTTTATTGTAGAAAAGCCGATCAGTCTGAATAATCGTCACATATCTCGTCAAATGTAGACATAAAAACGCGAGTACACAGTGGTATGAACCTCTTCCTGCAGTGTCCCAGTGATTGTTATTCTGGCAGACCTTCATCTTCACAGAGGCAGCCTCTTTCCCCCACCACCACCACCCCCAAAATGTGATAACATGGCTGTATGTTCCTGCAAGCTGCCTCATCCATAATCATCACCACAGCTGAAACAAAGAAGTATTAACTTCAGGAGGCACAGACGGGGTGTACAGGGGCTCCCTAATTATGGACGTGTCATCTGAGGGGCGCAGATACAACACCGATTAGAGGAGCTCTTGGCTACAATACAAACAAACCGGTGTTTTCTTCTGGAAGAAAAAGCGTGTGATGGTGAAACGAGAGGTAGTAATGGAGCTCATCTGGTAGGCAGAGGTGATAGAGCAACATACTGTCGTAAGCATGTGTAATAGCCATCAGTACAAGATGGGAAAGCATACTGTACAATTAAAATGTGCCAAGATACATTCATAGTGCAGACACAAACAATCAGGACCTTCACTTTCTAGTAACCTGCTGTAATATATTCTATTTTAATATATACTAAATCATCTAATATAGTACATTTGATTTTAAATAGTTTTAAATCTGCTTAGGTTTCCTTAATTCTTCTAAAGCTCTGAGAGACCCAACCTGATTGGTAAAAGCCATCGATACAAAATAGTAGATTTACTTCTATGTTAAAAGTGCTTTATAAACAAACTAATCTGGGAACTACAGTATTATGTGTTACGGGAGAAGTGATCCACTCTAACATGGCATGAAACCTGGAACAAACACTGATGATTTCTGAGAAAAACGCGCTGATCATTAAAAAGAAAAATACAAAGTGGGACACTAGTGGCAGGCGTCATAAACTATGTGTGTGTGCAAAAAAAGGCCTTGACAGGTGAAAAATAGAAATATTCTACTTTGAATACTACCAACTGTATATAAAATGTACTGCTCTCCCCAGGAGTCCCAAACTGTGGAGATCCATTTGGCACCTTGTTTGTTTCCTGTTTGTGTCGCCGTAGTGTCACTCGGTGGGGTCTGAAGGTCCACGGGGGACGCCGCTCCCCTCGTTTGACCCCCTCCCCCATCCTCCTCAGCACGGGGAACTGGAGTTGTTATAGTCCATTAGAAAGGAGCGTTTTTGATGTCAGGTTGACTTCCACAGCGGGTTATTATAGCTCCAACCATCCCCCTGCACAGGTGAGGGAGAAAAAGCCTTTTAAGAAAATAAAGCTCAAATTTGGATCAAATTACCAAAATTTACAAAGTAAGGCCCATTTAAATCCCACCCAGTGCATCTTTAAAAACTTGCAATATTGTATAAAAGCTCTTTATGCTTGATAGCATATGAAAATCAGAAATCCAGCGTCTTAGATTATAACATTATTTCCTAAAATCAATCAAAATAGGATTCAGAAAGCAGTAAAGTCCAACTTTTGAAAAGTATGCTAATTTATACACCATTACTTGGCTCATGGGCTCATTTACCGCAAATTACTGCATCAGTGTGAGTCGAAGAGATCAGTAACACCAACGCAGTGCACAAAGCTGAAGTCCACGTTGCTCTGTTAGCATCTGTAGTCTTCTTGATAAAGCCAGTCAGCTGATGATTGAAGCACAAAGTGCTCTAAAATCTGTGTTGATTCTGGACTTGGTAAAAACAGAGCGAACCAACCACCACCAACACCAGCAGATCACATGACAACTGCAGAAACTTCACTCTGGAGCTTGGAATCAGTCAATTATATATAAAAGGATGTTTCACTTCATATGGAACAAAATGTATCTTTTGGAAGTGAAAAGCAAAAAGAAAAGATGAACTTAATCAATGTTTTGCACATACACTTGTACTAGTTCTCTCTACAGGTGGTTGTGGCTCAGGAGGTAGAGCAGGTCATCTCTTCCAGTATGAATGCCAAAGTATTCTTGTGCAAGATACTGAACCCAGAGCTTCTGATGTGTTTATATGTAATTGTGCATGAATGTTAGATAGAAAACACTTAGATGTAGAAAAAAAAACTGCTTGTGTGCCTGAGTCATAGTGTATAACGTGCTTTACATAAGAACCAGTCCATTTCTGTACAGTAGACAGCAATATAGTGGAAGCAAAGGTGATTAAAGCAGCACGACTTTGCAGAAGCAAGAACTAAACCTAACATTTAGTTTGTGACCCAAAAATGTATCACCACAAAAACAGCACACAGTATAATCACACAGTTACAAGCGCTGTGTGTGCTACTAATGAGAAGGGGAGAGGCGTTACCTCGAGGTAAAAATAAAGCTTACTTCTGAAACAATCAGCAAGGCTCAAAATTCTTTTGCTTGTCAGGGCGACTAAATAATGCAAAGATTTTCACTCAGATTTCACAGTAAATGAAGCGCACTATTTATTAAATATAGTATTATGCCGTTCAGTGGGATATACTTTGAAATAGGAATGTTTACAAACTAGAGCTCAGACTGAATCTTATTGCTCTTGCAGTACCTCTTTAGTGAAGTATTTGGGCATCCAGGGTTTGTTATCAGCTGCTCTCTGCCTCTCCTCCCCTCTCTGACACTCCTCCAGTCTGTGTTTGTGCTCCGTGGCCTCGTCGATGTTCGCTTCCTTCAGCGACTTGGTGACGTTTTGCCACAACCGCCTATAAGCCAAAACACATTTAAAACCGTGTCGGAGGGCAAATGAGTGTGAAACGCTCCCAAAATGCTCACTGAACTCTGCTGCCTTTCACCTGGATTCTGTCCTCGCCTGTTTCTCCACCGGCCGCAGCTTCTTCTTGGTGACGGGAAGCTTGGTCGTGTCGATCACTTTGGTTTCCCCG